GGGGCGGCCGAAGGCTAAATAGTCCCATTTTAGTTGGGTTGGTGGCCTCTTTAGGCTTGTAAATAAAGGTTGTGTCATATGGACACGTGCGAGAGCTTTTCGGTCTGTAATGGACCATTTTACCCTTTGTTGTGCCACTGTTCAGAGCTTGTAAAGTCTGTTTGTAATTTGCATTGTCTATGAAGTGTTTTTCGGACATGTTTGCTTGTGGATCCCGATTGAGGCGTTCTCTTTAACCCGTTCTCTCTTTTGTTGGTCCTAACGGATAATGGGAGGCTTCGGGGAGGCTGACCTTTGCGGACGGACACGCAAGGGTGCTGCACGACTTAGGCAAAACCAGCTAAGTCCGTGTCACTATGTTGAAAACATTGGTGCCCGGATGGAAAGTAGATTGTCTCCTAAATTTTCCTATTTTGCTATCTTTTATTCTTTCTGTTAGTGAACCAACATCTGATACAGCAATGTACTATGCCATACCTGTCACATACTGTGGCAGCCATCTGGCATGGAGTTTTACTGAAAAGGGAACTCAACAACCTGCTCAAGTAATCATCATGAGACATTGACTTATATTTCATGCTTGAATTGCATAAGGTAGATTGCTTGTAGATGATTGCTCTGCCTTCTTGTAGGCTTATCAAGTATCATCAGTTGCCTATTTTATGCTTACTTTTGTAGTCACCAAAGTTTGGAAGTCTTCAATCATGTAATGCCCAGCCTTGGATGCAATTATGGAGAAGAACAAAACTTCACCTTAATGCATTGCTTTTCATTATGATTACTGACTAGTGAGAGCTGTAGATATCAAGAAACAAAGATAAGATATACTTAGCTGTTGCTTATTCCTTGCTTAGGTGGTCGATACCGGTCAGGAAGTCCTTGTGTCATCAATTCATGCAATAAATCTTTTGATAACCTCTTGATCCATTCCTTTTTCTTCTGACTGGTGACTGCATATGCTTGGTGGCTTTAATATCCCTTGATAATATTCACAGTTTGAATATATTATACTAAGAATTCAGAAACTTTCTCTTGGTTATTGCTAAGCATGGTAGCTGAACATGGTTTGTTCTATGCAGCTCAATCATTGTGCAGCACTGTTTCAAACCCTTCTGCAAACTTCAAATTAAGGGAGGATCCTTTATCTGGAAGCTCCCTGAAAGGTAAAAACAATATCCTGATGCTGGAAGTTTGTGAAATGTTCACATGCAGTCACATTTGACTTCTCCAATAATGCTAAATGATAAAATCATTGTTGGGTAGTTTTATATGTTGCCTTTGTTCTTAAACTGACTTCTCTGTGACTCACTGCCTCAAAATATGCAGCACCACGCTCCTTCTTCTCCCTATCTTCGTTCCGGAGCAAGGAATCCAAGCCTCGGTGACGGTGGTTTATCTGGAAGTGCAAAGTTATGATGCTCTACGGCTTAGGTACATACTGTTACAATTTTCCAATAGATACAACACGGCCGCTTTAACGCACAATATGCATCCTTCCATCTCCGTTCATATCTACAGGTTCTCAACTGCTGTCATCTGTTAGTTTGTTGTAGATTTGGTTGCCTAGAATCAGTTAGGCTATAAATTGTCAGTTAGCATGGAATATGTTGTATGGCCGGAAGTTGTTGGCCCTTTTCAACTTGTGGTATGTCTTTATATATCTAAATCTGTTGGAACAGAAACGAGCAAGAGTATGGTAGTAAGCAATTGATTTGTACAAAGAGAATCCGTGCTGTGTATTCTTCTGTTTCTTCCTTCCTGTCATTTGTGTTTGTCATGAAATTAATTCTTCAGATGCTGATCTATATTTGTTTTCCTGCATATTTTGGGAACTTCTATGTAACTCTTTACGTGACTGCACTAAGTACCAGCTTTGGTGATACTTCTTTTATCTTTCCGCTTAGCCAATCTAGTTTGGAGAATCTGCTTGGTGTAGTGTTTGTGAAGTGATGGGAGGACAAGCACCCATGGCTGATGCTGGGCCCATCAATAAATATTCTCTTCATTTGTCTGGGCCTCGTTAGGGCCCATGAACAAGTCTAGAAACAAGTCTCATCTCATGAGTCTTGGTCTTGGGCTTTCATAATGGTCGTTATTGTGGTGCATGCACTTGATCAGAATGCCACCATCTCTAGGATGGGTTTTCATAATGATCCTTGTGGTGCATGCGCTTGATCAAAATGCCTCTCTCTAGGACGCCGGAGAGGAGCACCTCGGTGGTGCTCCGACGGCCACCTTTAATCATCATACCTGCCAGCCCACTTCTGAAGGTCCACGGTGTGGATTTCGGTGGAGGTCAAAAGCGATAGGAACCGTGGCGGTCATAGGCAGCTCGAAGGCAATCGACCATTCTGGTATCACGCTAGGTCATATTTCTGAACATTCTTGTAGTATGCTGTGACCCTCCTAATACTTGCATAACCCAACTGGGTGATCGGATCAGAAAAACCGAGAATCAAATGACTAACCAAGTTGTCTAACAAAGTGGTTATGTTAAAAAAATCAAAATGAATAAATTGACCTGATTTGTTTTGGGGTAACTACAGCATGAATCGATCAGTTTTATAATATAGTTGAAATTACTTAAATATTTTAATTATTTTAAATAGGGTTCACATGAGAAATAAAATGACATATCTCATTTGACGGTTACTCTCTTTTTTTGCACTCTCTTCTTTCGCTCTATTCAATATAGTGGATCTCTATCCAACAATCTCTTATTGACTCTTATTGGATTTCATCCTTAGGATCCAACAATTCATGAGTTTATTAGATATCCAATAAAATTGGGGCTTCGACGGATATTTCATATCCGAACCTCTACTCGTCATAATGCCTATCATATGTGTGTGACCCTCTAGGCCTTATATTGAGTTGGCTGTGAGTCATAGCTCTTAGAACTCCTTCTGACTCAGTGAATTATTATCTCCATAATAATTCACTCGACTAATCGACTACGGACGTACTAGGCTACTACGTCGTAGTCCCCAAACGATACAGGAGAATCCAATCCATTGGACTTGTTTGTCCTTAGTTACCATATACTTATAATCTCTTATTCATATAATATCCCAGAAACTGTATACCGGGCACGGTATTGTCAGACCCATATAGTTTCTATTCGAGTCTCACTCTTAGAGAACTTTCTCTCTCAATCTAAATGACCCTGGCCAGGGGTTTGTTTGAGCAAGAACACATGAGATATTCCTCTTATGATACCAAGAGTAGATGATCCTCTATCGACACTCAATAGTCCATGTAAGGTTGGCTGCCACTCCCGATGACCTATTGTGCTAGATTTGAAACTTCGAAACCTATAAGTCTGGTATCAAAGAGTGGAGTACTCATACAGGACATCCTTGGTGTCTTAAATCTAAGGACCAAGTATACCATTGGGATAACAAAATCACTAGTTGACAATGAGGTATCATTAACCATCTATCATTCCGTGAGTGGATCAATCAACGAACTCATTCTCCAATGAGCACTTGCACTATAGCCCTAGTGTCCCCACACGGGTAGCTATGAGATTAGTCGCCTCCAGTATATGTACATATATATAGTACACCAATTTGTTCGGTTATCTCGATATCCCTCTCGAGTAACCTATGATCGAGATTATTTAGGATCTGTGTTTAAAGGCGAATCAGTCTTATTATCGTGATCTCATCACGATCCGATTCCCATTACACAGATCCATGAACATCACAATATATTTATGCAATAAGCAAAAGTGATAAAATATCAAAAAATATAATAAGTAGAAAGAATGCATATTATGTTACACGTGCCATCACTCATGTGATTGGCTTGCAAGGCACCCATGACCAACAGTCTTTCACTTGACCTAAAGCCAATCACCTCTATGTTTGATCCCCATCAGACTCCTGTGAGGCTCAAAGATAACATGAGATAATCACTTTGTCAGTGGATCTGCGGTGTTATCTTTGGATGGAACTCTTTCCACTACTACATCTTCTCGAGCCATGAACTCTCTGATAAGCTAGAACCTTCTTAGAACATTTTTGATGAGATCCGAGTTCCCTCGTTTGAGTAATTGTCCCATTGTTGTTGTTGTTGGGAAATCTTGGGGGCGACATCATATGCGCAGCGGAAGAACAAGAAAACAAAATCCCCGATTCCCAAAGAGATGTTCGTCGTCATGCGAAGATTGGTGCACAAAATCCGCGAAACTTAAAACTGCGTATAGAGTAGATTGTGTTACCTAGGGAGATCGTATATCCCTGTTTCCTTGCAGATCCTTAGGAGAGGGTGAAGGAGGTCAAGCGTCCTCCTCTTTAGCGGTGATCCACACAGTAGGGTTGCGACGACGCTCCTCAAAACTCCAGGCCTGCTCTGAGGTGGAGAGGGAGAGGAGAATAGGAAAGGCAAGCAAAGGCTCTAGCCTATAAGGCTCTGAATCCCTCCTATTTATAGAGGTCCCCTGTCAAACCCTAATGGGTCCTCCCATAGTAGGTATTTGATCTGTATCCAATAATACAAGGGCT